GGGGAGGACGCAGGGAGGATGTGGGAAGATGGAGGGAGGATGGAGGGAAGACGGAGCTTCGCTCGGCCTCCTGCCCTTGGTCCCTGTTTCTCAGCAAAGCGATTCTGGCCCGAAAGCTAACCCGAGCCCTGGTTCTGAGCGTCGTGCAGCCTTTTACTAGTTTGCCCCCGTGGGCGAATAGCCGGACTGAGGCGGGCTGGGCTTTGTGGCGACTGAAGTGCGCGCACTTGCCTGCGCACTGCGGGAGGCCGGGAACTCTGGTTGCAGCTGCTTCTCCCGGTACCTCGTTGGCTGCACAGAGGCATTAACTGTCGGGAAAGCTAGGGCGGAAGCGCCCTCAGACTGCGCGGAGACATCGTCCGCCGGTCCCCCTGCTGTTTGATGACTAGGGTGCTGGCGGGAAGTTTGTGCCCCTTCTCAGCCAACCTTCAGCCTCAGCAACTGCCTTTGTTTTGTCCCCCCAGGAAGGGCTGTCATGAGCGAGGAGCGGGCCCGGAGGGTCCCGGTGGCGGAGAGGGGAGCGCGCTGTGGCGGTTGGTAGACTCGGGATCCGGGGAGCAGCGCCTAGGCGGCTGGAGCGGCCGTGGCAGGTGGGCGATGAGCCGGCGGCCGGGCGTGTGGTCTGCCTGGCCTCCTGGGCTGGCGCAGAAGCCAGAAAAAGAAGAGACCGAGGCAGGAATGCGCATCTGTTTTCTCAGCCATGAGGGACTTTGACCACCTGACAGTGCTGTCTTCTCCCAGATGGAAGAAGAAAATAGTCCCAAGCGGGGAAGGCGAAAGCTCAGAGAACAGGACACCTTGACACACTAGGTGAGGAGTGCAGTGCCTGGCACTGTGAGAATGGCAGGACGCCAGCATCATTATCATATTACACTGTGGTGAGTTGCCAGCCGGCCGTGGGCGGTTTCCTATGCTGCCAGCTACCCATGGCTTCATTTCACTCTGGAAAGTTTTTATTTTCTCTTTTTTAAAAAAATAAAATGCTTTTCCTGTTAAATAGATCCGTGTGAAAGAAGTAAATGCTGAATTCCTGTTTTGACTATATCCCTATTCTCAACGCATTATGGAATCAGTGGAGGCATTGATAGTCCTTGAACTTTGATTTTTTTGAAAGCAAAAGTGTGCCATAGCAGACATGCCTTTTAAGGGTTCCCGGTATACCAGTTGCCCATGCTTTGAGTGAGCTGAATGTCAACTGGATTTCATGGCATACAAGACTTAAATGCCATTTTATCAAGATCCTTAATGTGTATTTTATATTAGCCAGATGGGAACCACGTTAGATCCTGTGTTCATCGTGTATGCCTAAGGAAAGCTCTTCCCCATGGATCATGGCGGTAATGTTTACAGGACATTTCCTATTTTTAACATTGGTGGTGTTTCCTTTCTCTACTTGTGAAGAGTCTGTGAGCAATTACTCTGAATGGGCAGTTTTCACAGAGGATATCGAACAGTTTAAGACACAGAAAGTCCAAGATTTAAGACTCAACCAAAAACTTCATCCAAGATTATATTTTGATGCTGGAGAAATACAAGCAATGAGACAAAGATCTCGTACGAGCCATTTGCATCTTTTTAGAGCGATTAGAAATGCAGTGACCATTATGCTTTCTAACCCAACATACTACCTACCTCCACCCAAGCATGTGGATTTTGCTGCCAAGTGGAATGAAATATATGGTAATAATCTTCCTCCTTTAGCACTGTATTGTTTGTTAAGCCCAGAAGACAAAGTTGCCTTTGAATTTGTCTTAGAATATATGGACAGAATGGTTGGCTACAAAGACTGGCTTGTTGAGAATGCACCAGGGGATGAGGTTCCAGTTGGCCATTCCTTAACAGGTTTTGCTACTGCCTTTGACTTTTTATATAACCTATTAGATAATCATCGAAAACAAAAATACCTGGAAAAGATATGGATTGTCACTGAGGAAATGTATGAATATTCCAAGATTCGCTCATGGGGGAAACAACTTCTTCATAATCACCAAGCTACTAATATGATAGCATTACTCATAGGGGCCTTGGTTACTGGAGTTGATAAAGGATCTAAAGCAAACATATGGAAACAGGTTGTAGTGGATGTCATGGAAAAGACAATGTTTCTATTGAATCATGTTGTTGATGGCTCCTTAGATGAAGGTGTGGCCTATGGAAGCTACACATCAAAATCAGTCACACAGTATGTTTTTTTGGCACAGCGACATTTTAACATCAACAATTTAGATAATAACTGGTTAAAAATGCACTTCTGGTTTTATTATGGTACCCTTTTGCCAGGTTATCAAAGAACTGTGGGTATAGCAGATTCCAATTATAATTGGTTTTATGGTCCAGAGAGCCAGCTAGTTTTCTTGGATAAGTTCATCTTAAAGAATGGAGCTGGAAATTGGTTAGCTCAGCAAATTAGAAAGCACCGACCTAAAGATGGACCAATGGTTCCTTCCACGGCCCAGAGGTGGAGTACACTTCACACTGAATACATCTGGTATGATCCAAAACTCACCCCACAGCCTCCTGTCGAATATGGTACTGCAAAAATGCACACATTTCCTAACTGGGGTGTTGTGACCTATGGGGCTGGGCTGCCAAACACTCAGACCAATACCTTTGTGTCTTTTAAATCTGGAAAACTGGGGGGACGGGCTGTGTATGATATAGTTCACTTTCAGCCATATTCCTGGATTGATGGATGGAGAAGTTTTAATCCAGGACATGAACATCCAGATCAGAATTCATTTACTTTTGCCCCAAATGGGCAAGTATTTGTTTCTGAAGCTTTATATGGACCAAAATTGAGCCACCTTAACAATGTATTGGTGTTTGCCCCTTCACCATCCAGCCAGTGTAATAAGCCTTGGGAAGGTCAACTGGGAGAATGTGCACAGTGGCTCAAGTGGACTGGAGAAGAGGTTGGTGATGCAGCTGGGGAAATTATTACTGCTTCCCAGCATGGAGAAATGATGTTTGTGAGTGGGGAAGCAGTGTCTGCTTATTCTTCAGCAATGAGACTAAAAAGTGTGTATCGTGCTTTACTTCTCTTAAATTCTCAAACTCTGCTTGTTGTTGATCACATTGAAAGGCAAGAAGCTTCCCCAATAAATTCCGTCAGTGCCTTCTTTCATAACTTGGATATTGATTTTAAATACATCCCATATAGGTTTATGAATAGGTATAATGGCGCCATGATGGATGTGTGGGATGCACATTATAAAATGTTCTGGTTTGATCATCACGGTAACAGTCCTGTGGCTAATATACAGGAAGCAGAGCAAGCTGCTGAATTTAAGAAAAGGTGGACTCAGTTTGTTAATGTTACATTTCAGATGGAATCCACAATCACAAGAATTGCATATGTCTTTTATGGTCCATATGTCAATGTTTCCAGCTGCAGATTTATTGACAGTTCTGATTCTGGACTTCAAATTTCTCTCAATGTCAATAATACAGAACACATTGTTTCTGTTGTAACTGACTACCAAAACCTGAAGAACAGATTCAATTACCTAGGATTTGGTGGCTTTGCCAACGTGGCCGATCAAGGCCAAATAACCCAATTTGGTTTAGGCACTCAAGCAATAGTAAAATCTGTAAGACATGAAAAAACAGTTTTCCCCTTTGGGTTTAAATTTAATATAGCTGTTGGATTCATTTTGTGTATTAGTTTGGTTATTTTAACATTTCAGTGGCGGTTTTACCTTTCTTTTAGAAAGCTAATGCGTTATATACTAATACTTGTTATTGCCTTGTGGTTTATTGAGCTTCTGGATGTGTGGAGCACTTGCACTCAGCCCATCTGTACAAAATGGACAAGGACTGAAGTCAAGGAAAGGGAGAAAGCCGTGACTTCTGAAAGGCATCTTGTGGATCTTCCTGATGTTGTCATTACCTCACTTCCTGGTTCAGGGGCTGAAATTCTCAAACAGCTTTTTTTCAACAGTAGTGATTTTCTCTACATCAGAGTTCCTACAGCCTACATTGACATTCCAGAAACTGAATTTGAAATTGACTCATTTGTAGATGCCTGTGAATGGAAAGTATCAGATATCCACAGTGGGCATTTTCGTCTACTTCGAGGGTGGCTGCTATCTTTGGTCCAGGACACAAAACTACACTTGCAAAACATCCATCTACATGAACCCAACAGGGGTAAACTGACTCAATATTTTACAGCTAATAAGGACAAAAAAAGAAAATTGAAAAGGAGGGAGTCTTTACCAGAGCAAAGAAGTAGAATGAAAGGAGCCTTTGATAGAGATGCTGAATATATAAGGGCTTTGCGGCGACACCTGGACTATTACCCAAGTGCCCGTACTGTGCTCAGTTTAAGTAGTGGTAGCTGGACTTTGAAGCTTCATTTTTTTCAGGAAGTTTTAGGAACCTCAATGAGGGCATTGTACATAGTAAGAGACCCTCGAGCTTGGATCTATTCAATGCTATATAGTAGCAAACCCAGTCTTTACACCTTGAAGAATGTACCGGAGCACTTAGCAAAATTATTTAAGATAGAGGAAGGTAAAAGCAAATGTAATTTAAATTCAGGCTATGCTTTTGAGTATGAATCACTGAAGAAAGAATTAGAAAAATCCCAATCCAGTGCTGTCTCCTTATTGTCTCATTTGTGGCTAGCAAATACTGCAGCAGCCTTGAGAATAAATACAGATTTGCTGCCTACCAGCTACCATCTGGTCAAGTTTGAAGATATTGTTCATTTTCCTCAGAAGACTACTGAAAGGATTTTTGCCTTTCTTGGAATTCCTTTGTCTCCTGCTAGTTTAAACCAAATACTGTTTGCCACTTCCACCAACCTTTTTTACCTCCCTTATGAAAGGGAAATATCGCCAACTAATACTAATATTTGGAAGCAAAACCTGCCGAGAGATGAAATTAAAGTAATTGAAAACATCTGCTGGACATTAATGGATCGTCTAGGATATCCAAAGTTTATGGACTAAATGCTGCAGGTCAGCAGAAATTTGCACTAATATTTCCCAATCCACTTTTTGAATATTAACTAGAAAAAATTTGTTTATTCTTGTACGTGTGTGTGTGAAGAGTGTGTTCAATCTATTACTTGCACAGAGAGATTATTTTAAAAACAACACCATATTTGGCCTAGCAGGATTTACTTTTATGTTACCACTTTCCTTGCCTTTGTTTCTGAAAGTTTTCTGCTAAAGTCTTTGTGCTACAGAGATATAGATAAAATTATGTTATGGGGGTCTGAGAAGATGGGAAGATTTTAAAGGACTTTGTTTAACTTGTTTTCTTTGATACCTGCTAATCTATCTTGGAACCTCAAACACTACTAACGGCCTTGCAGTTGCTACTTTACCCAGGCATTTCTTGCTTTTAAGATGGACTACAAAAGTTCCTTATCTTTTTGGAAAGATCTTCTAAACACTTATCTTGTAGAAAGAAAAAGGTTAAAAAAAAAATCCCCTTTACTTTGTATAATATCAGTAAAATCACTGGGGAAATGTTGAAAGTTCTTTTCAGAGCTACAGGATTCATTTTGGAAAATATATTTGGAAATACAGAATAAAGTTTCTTTTTTTCACTTCATAAGGAATGTTTGTGAACAGTAGGTGCTGAAGTCTGGTGGATTATTTTGGACATGCTTCTCTCTTTAAAACTCTCATTTGCCTCCCTGAAGCTACAGATATTTGCCATCACACCATGCCTGCCCTGTACTTTCTATCACTGTCAACCAAAACAGTCAGTAGTTACTAATTACTAAACTAGCATTTGAGGATTAATTTTATTCTGATGATTAATTTGGCATTAAAGACTGACACACTTAGAATCAAATTTAGGTTTGTGGTGTTACCACTGTATGACTCAAAGCAAGCAGTAGCAATGCTGCCAGTGTTTTTTTAGCCTAGAAACAGAATTGGAAAGCTGCCTGACTTATCTTGTATCCCTTTGAGTGAATTTACAGGCTGCCAGTGTCTGCAAAAGTTGAAGGCAATTGAGAGATGATGTCAGAGGCATCTGTTTCCTTTACCATCTGCATCTTATTATAAATGTAGTCAACATAAAATGTGGTTCATTTTACTTTGGTAGATTCTGAAATCCAAACTGCTATGCTATTATAAGCCATTGGAGTAATTACAATGTATTGGATGAAGATTATCAGGCAGTGTCAAGATTTGATGAGAATCTTTACAGATTGCAGTCCTCTTCCTGATGTTTCAGACTACAAACTGCAGTCTCCTCAAGCTCTGTAACACTTGGAGTCTGTCACTCTGACCTAGATAAAAGTGGTTCTGTCTCAGTAGTTTGTTATTATGTCGAAATGTGCCTCCAAAGTGATAAAGCCCCTGGATATGTTACACTACAGGACAGCTGAACCTAACTTAGCTGTCATTTTCCTTCCATTTTGGTGTGAGTGGAAGCTGCTCCCTGCCATCTACATTTACTCTCTCCTATAGGTCTCATAATTTTTTCTTTATTATATTGAAATTAATAAAAATTAATAGATTGATGTGTTGAAGACTCAAATCTACATTGTTACTCAAAAAGATGAATGTCTCTCTCAGGCTTATCAACAGCATGCAAAATTGCTACTTGGATGACAAGACTATTTCCATTATTGGTCAGAGTCTCACTATTTGCTTTCAATTCCCAGAATGTGTGGTTTTAAATAAGATCAAACAGAAAAGCTCCTGGATGGAAGTAGCAATATATCTAACCAAGGTAAGAATTAGAAATGCCTTTCTTGGAACATTGTACAGAAATACACCTAGGGACAGAAAGCTGCCAAATGGAATATGTAGATGATTAAGGGAAGAAGAGATATGGAAATGAAAGTATGAGTAATTCTGAGAGTGAAGATGGGGGTGTTTTATTGATAGAACAAAACACAGTGGCTTTTACCTTAGCCCCACAGGGCAATGCAAAGTTGAGTTTTCTCACCTTAGGGGAAATGTGAGACAAAAGCCCTAATTCCTGGTTATTGTTTTATATGAAAGCATTCTGAAGGCTGGGAACATATCCTGGTGAGGAATGCTATGCCTGGAGAAAGCCATTACACACTCACTGAATTTGCATTTCTGTGGTCATACCTGTGCCCTAGGGCCTTAAAATCTGAATACGTGAGGTGAGTCCTACTTCTAGCACATCTTTCGGTCCTACACTCTGGGTGATCTGAGAACATTTTGAATCACCTCTAAACTTATTTTCCACCTGCAAATAAAGAGGGATTACCACTGTCACGTTTGAAAAATAAGAGCATTTTAAAATGTCTTATTTATAAAACTCCTTCATTAACTTCCTCAAACTTAAGCCTAATTGGAGGTGCCACTCATTAAAAAATAACATCTAAAGTTACAAAGGATGAAATAGAAAATTCCCCCTCCAAAGTGTGTGTGTGGGGGGCGCGCTGTATCTAGAGTTAAATTATATGAAAATCCAGTGAGGAAATTGGAAAGACTGTTCAGAAGAAGGAACAATCTACGGTTGTACTTAATTTATAATTTTTATCAAGAAGACACAAGGGCATGTATACATTAGGCATAAGTCCCAAAGTAGCAAATATGTAGTCTTTAGACAAATGGAAGAATTTGTCTGATTGTAGTAGTGCAATCTTTATGTCGAATTTCAGAGAATGTCAGAGACCTGCTGTATTACTCTCTGCAAATATATTCAAAAGATCTCTTTTTCACACAGTAGAATGTCTTTAAAATTCCCCAATACAACATATTACTCCTTCTGTCTACACATTCGATTGACATCAGAAGTTTTTGTGTATTACCAAAGTTGTTAGACATTCTTGACATACGAAATATATTACACCTAATTATTACTAAACCTATTTAATACTGCAGTGTTACAGTGTTGTTTGATCATAATTATAAAAGCTTTCCCTTAAGAATGTACATAGAAATAACACCACTTTCAGATATAAAGGTGTCTAATAGTCTAAAGTACATTAAGGCATTCAACATGAACCATTTCCCATTTATATGTTGGCTAAATTATATAATGTTTCTATTTATTAATTTTAGCAGAAAAAGTATTCAAATAACTTAGAATATACAAATGACTTCCAATTTTTGCCCAGAGGATAACAGACAAAACCTGTAGATTTTAACATTCTTTAAAAAAAAATTTCTTATGTGTATGAGTGTTTTGCTTGCTTGTATGTAAGTGCACCCATGTCATTCAGTCCTCATGTAGGTCAGAAAAGGGTGCCAGATCCCCTGGAACTGGAGTTACAGACCATTGTTAACCACCGTGTGGGTTCTGGGAACCAAACTCGGGTCCTCTGCAAGAGCAGCCAGTATTCTTAATTACTGAGCCGTCTCTCCAGCCCCTATTTTAACATTCTTAACCAAGATATTTAATTTATATGGATTAATTTGGTATATATCAAGCTAATACATGTTTAATTCAATCCCACATATGTATTCAGTGAGGATGTCTTTAAACTGGGGATATCTTTTTTTGGATTTTTTTTTTCCTGTTTTTTTTTTTGGTTTTCTTTCACACCTTTACACAGCAAACAAAACAGACTAAAGATCATAAACTAGTTTGTGCTCCTTAAAAATTAAAAGCTTAAAGGTGGTTTGACTATTATTGGGATAATTTTCTCATACACCTCTCTAGGTCTTTGTGTTATGATATGTCATTCAGATTTTTTATTCCACGGAGAGTGCAGAATTTGAAAAGTGCAGCCATGTTTAATATTGATTACATATAATCCTACAAATTTGCACAATAGATTGTGCCCCCCCCTCAATTCAGCAATGGATAACCTTCCCTATACTCTAGATGATAAGGATGTGCCTCTGCTCATCACCTGTGATCTATATCACCTCCATCCCCTCCCCCTGCCCCTGCACAAAAAAAAAAAAAAAAAAAAAAAAAAAAAAAAAATTAAGGCATAATATGGCTAAAAAGGAAGTTCTTGCAGGTTACTTGAAGCAGACTAAATGGTGCATCTAAGAATAGTCATGATGATGACGTTTTAAATATGCCATTAATTAATCTGTCAATTAGTATGTGCTGCAGCCTGTACAATTAAAGAGTTTTTGTACATCTTAGTACTTATATACAGCTCTCACAAGTCTGTATAGAACCTGAATTACACATAAATTTGAAACGCATATCAAATGATTTGTCCAAATTAATTCAGCTGTTGATGTTTTGTCCAAGTTGTAGGCAGGCTTGCCAATACTAGTTTATAAAGCATTTTGGATGTCAATTGGCAAGATACTGATTATATGAGGAAAGGACACAAAGAGAAAGAGGGAGGCAGTGAGAGGGAGAGGAAGAACACATTGCTAGCATTGGCAATGAAATAGTTAACTCAATGCCTTCTGCTGTGCTTTCCACCATACCCTCATAACCCAAGTGCTTCCAGATAGCCACAATACTGTGTGCTCTCTTGAATACAGGATATGTAATGGTCAAACCATACACAGACCTTACATCAATGGAGCTGATGATCTGTGGGACGGGATTCTATTCAACGACGATAACGAAGCCTACACCAATTTGAAATAATGTTATTGTCAATTATGTTGACTAACAGTCAGTCATATATTCAAATATAACTTGTTTTAGATAGAAAACAAAACAAAACAAAACAAAAAACCTTGCTTTTCTTCCCTCTACCTTGTAAATAATGCTGAAAGGGAAGAGGGAGAAATGAGAGAATAAAGAAGTGAATAAGGAAAGGAAGGGCAGGAGAGAAAGAGGGTGGAAAGAAGGGGTGTTTGAGCATTCTTACCATGCTCATGTTATTGCCTAAATTGTTTCAAAAACTCTGAATAGTAGAGGGAAAAAAAAAACTTGAAAAAGAAAGATATAATCTGAGCACATGCTGTTACAGTACAACTATTTTTTAGTATTTAAGCCTTAAACTGTTCCTGTATTTCTCTGACTCTCTTGGTGTATGTGTATTGTTTCAAGTGTTTAATTCTCATGTGAAATTTCATCAAGTGTCTCATTTTTAAATGCTCTAAGGGATACAGTATTTCCACATGTTGTTTTCCATTCTTTTTCTGAACTTGGATATACATTGTGTTCTTCATTTAAGGAGAACAGCACACTCAGGTATACTAGACACACTAGGTGTTCTTCCTCCTCTTGGAAGTCAGTTCAACTCATACCACTGACACATTCCAAATTGCCAAAAGAGCAACATCTATTCCATTATCTGCATTAAAGTCTGGCATCCCCATATAAACAACATTTTACTTAAGCATCAAATGATA